GCCCCCTGCATCGGCAGGCGGACTCTCAACCACTGCGCCATCAGGGAAGCCCAATTTCCTGAGCATTTATTGAGGTTGACTGTGTGCTAGGCCCTGTGCCGGTGATGGGGATAAAGTCGACATAAGCCAACCTTCACTAACTCATAATTGGGTCAAAGAGGTAGACGGCTGACTGTAAAGGGCCTTCAATCCACGCCAAGGAGTTTGGCCTTTACCCGTGGCGGCAGAAGCTCCTGGGGTTTTAAAGCAAGGGTTAAGAGGACCACATTCGTTCCACAAACACTTATAGATAGCTTACGATATGGTGCTGTGGACCCAGAGAGAAGGAATGTGTTTTAGGATTTTTCCTTTGGCTACAGTGTGCAAGATGACCTGGGTGCGGGAAGGAGGGAGAGCAGAGAGGTCCTGCTGCAGAGTTCAGGTGAGAGACGATAACACTAGGGTAGGGGTGGTGGAGGGATGTGGATGGACTGCGAGATGTTAGGAGGGGGCCTTAGCAGGACTTGGGGACTGACTGGATACGGGGGTGAGAGGGACAGAGGAATTGCGGCCAATGCTCAGATTTGGGGCTGAATAGATAGAGGTGGTGTTGCTGAGAAACAGGTTTGGGGAGAATGAAGAGTCAGTCCCCAGTGAGAACATGAGCCCCTCAAGTAGCCTGTGCCCAAGGTACAGGCCCTCCCCATGAAGCCTGGCTAGAGTGAGGCCCCCACCAGACCTGGAAGGCTGAGTGGACATTCAGGAATGTCCCACTAGAGCCCCAGTTTCCCAGGACATGGCCTGGGAGGTGAATTTGACCTGCCTGGAGTCTCTTTGGAGGGGTGCCAGACTCCAACTGCAGGGCAGCTTGTCATGAAGACACTCTGGAAAAGGAAGCCCTCAGGTTGGCAGAGGAATTCTACTTCCACAGCCCAGTGCATGCCAGTGTGGCTTCTAATCCTTACTGTTGGGAGTGCCCTAGATAACTAGATCTGAGATGGGTCAGGTCCATGCCCCTTCCCTTGCTATGTGACCTCAGTGAGTTACAGGATAGCTCTGGGCCTCAGATTCTTCTACTGGGCCATGAGGCAGATCAAGGAGCAGTAGGGGTAGCAACATCCTCTCCCACTTACCAAGCCCAGAGAATGAGGACTCCTATATGCTCCCAGAAGAAGGCAGGGAGGGGGAGGTGTGCCATCTTCAGGAACCTAGAACTGTGGGGTCCAAATCGGCTGCCCTGGGGCCAGAGTCAAGGGTACATGTGGAACACGCATGGGCAGAAGGAGGCAGGCTCCATCCTCAGCTGCCCCCTCCTCCAGCCCAAAGCACACTGAGGGCTCAGGGTATAGTTAAGAAAGCTCAAGAACCCAGGGGTGGAAGCATCTGACGGGGAAGGCAGAGCCTCTCCCTCTGCTCCTGTGGGATGTGCCTGAGTGTCTGCGTAAAGGGCTGGGAGTGGGTGGGAGCACATCAGCGTATGAGACTGCAAATCTGCCAGAGTGCACATGTGTGTGTGTGGGGGGGGGGGGGTTAACATAGACTTGTATTTGTATCAGTAAGGGTTTTCCAGAGAAACAAAACCAATAAGGGGTGTGTGTGTGTGTGTGTGTGTGTGTGTGTGTGTGTGTGTGTGTGTGTGTGTGTGTGTGGGGGGGGGGGGAGAGAGAGAGAGAGAGAGATGGCGTCTGTGTGGCTCTCACTTCCTGCCCCTTTTCTCCTCCTTCCCTGTGCTGCCTTCCTACCATTTTCTGTCTCCTGGGGCCATACCTGTTCTCAGTGCCCATTTGATCCCAGGCCCACCAAGGACTATGACTCCTCCTTCACCCCTCTTCATTCCTTCTAGTGCTCTTAGGTCAGCAGGCCAAAGCTGGTGACGCCCTTTAAGATCATCCCCTCATTTTAGTGAAAACTGGAACCCAGAGAGAGGAGAAAACTGGCTGAGTCACACCCAGGCTGAATCCATGCCGCCTGCCTGGACCACCCTCTCCAAATCATGGCTACTCTCGTCTAGTACAGACTCCTACCTGCCTTCCAGGAAAACCATAGCTCTGATCTCCCCCTTGGCCTCAGTGGGACCATCTTGGCGGCTCCAGGCCACAGTATCTGATACCCAGGAAATATCGACCCTTTGGGTGGCCCACCAGCGCCTCTGACTCAGCACATCTACAGCCAGACTCACCGTCAACCCGTGATGGTCCTTCTCTCTCCATTGCCCTTCCTTCCTTCCCTCCCTCATCCCAGTGGGGAAATGAGATCATGGTTACCGTTAGTTTCCCCTCTCCCTTTTCCCTAGGTTCAACTTGCTACCAAGTCCTATTGTTCCTTCTTTTGAAGTGTTCCTGGAACCTTCACCATGTCCTCTCTCCCCACATAGTCAGGGCCAGGGGCACAGCCAAAGGGGCTGAAACCCAGCTGGGGCACTGCTTGCCAAGCCATCCTGTGGGCTCAACTGCCTCGGAGGAGGTGCGTTTCCTTCTAATTCCTCTGTTCCATGAGAATGTCTTTTCTAGTTTTGCCCAGAAGTACAATATAGGCTAGGGGTGGCCATGCCCATGGGCCCCTGAAACTCCAGAATCCTCTAGAATCTGGTGTCAAGGTGTCCACCTGTCTTGCCTCACCTCCCACTGCTCCCCTCACAATTACATACTTTCAAGTTAGTCTTCTCACAGCCAGAACCTACTTCAACTATTGCTTAGCTGTCTCCATCTTCCTTAATATCCTCTCTTCTCTTCGGGGCTGATGCAGGCCTTCAGGCCTGACGGAAGCCCACTTCCTTATGATCAGCCTCTCCCAGCCTGGAGAGTTGACAGGCAGCAGCATGGACTCGGCATTCTGGGCATGAGGAGAACGTGTGAGCCCACGGAGTTGAGCCCCACAGGTGCGTAGACTCCAGAGCTCTCTGACCCTCACCTGCTGCTCTAGAATTCCACAATGGAGCCTGATGTGGGAGAGACTTTTGCGTTACACTCTTGTCTGAGCCAGAAAAAGTTCTCCAGGACTTTTGCTCCATGGCAAAGAGCTTATTCCCTCCCGATATAATCCAGTCTGTTTGGGAGCAGCTTTTTGGACAGTGAGGAAAGCACTTCTCCCCTTGCTCCTACTTGCCCCACACAGGTTGCCACTCTGCCCTCTGTGGCAACACAGAACTGTTCTGCAGAGACCTAAAGGCCACATCTGGAACACAGAGATGTTCACTGAATGTCCCTTTGTGGATTATATACAAGGGGCAGAACCCCCTTCTTTCTCCTTGGAATGGCGTCAGGCTGTTTTGTTGATCTGTGTTCTTCTGCCATTGCTCCCACTTAGAGACAATGGAACCCAGACCCTAGGAAAGGAAGAGTTCACCCAAGGTCAAGTACAGCCTATCAGCAGAAAGGCGAAGGCCAGAACCCACTGGGGGCATGTTCTGTTGGAGCTGTGGCCTGGGTGCATGTGGGCAGGCTCCTCTTGAGAGCTGCCCTCCAGCTGTGAAGGAGCTGGCACTGCCCCATACACAAAGGCGCTGCCCTTCTGGGCTCAGAGGCTTCTTTCAGAGGGCAGGACTCAGGGTTGTGGGCTCCAAATGGGGAGGTGGCAGGGAGGGTGGGAGGGGCTGAGGGAGGCAATAATCCCACACCCTCACCCAGCTTCAGAGGAGCTGGTGCTGAGACTGTTGCCATGGTGACAACAGCTCCCTGGTCAGGAGATTTTTCTCTTTCCGCTCCTCCCTTTGCTCTTCTCCAAGCAGTGGCCATAGCAGCAAAAGCCAGGTCTTCTCCCTCTCCTTATTAGTGAGACACAGGGAATGATAAACAAAAGGTGGGCCCTGTTGAGCACCTCCACCTTGGAGCTGCCCATGCCATGCGGGCTGATGGTCTAGGAGGGACTCCGAACTGCTGAGGAGGAGCCTGGGCCTGGAGAGTATGTGGGAAGGGATTGGCCCGTACCCAGGCCTGGGTAAGAAGCAATGTCCTTTTGGTGAAGACTAAAGCCTCCTCTCTGAAATGTCCTAATGGTTCAGGGTAAGAGAGAAGGGGTCCTGTTCTCTCATAATCAACCACAGAACCAGAGTGCGTCAGTGTTGGAAGGCTTTCCAATATCATCTCATCAAGTCCACTCTCTGTCCTGCCCACCCTGCCCCTGTTCCCCATCTCACGAAGGATCAGAGAGGGAAGTGACTTGGCCAAGTCAAACAGCAACTGAGGCAAAGGCAAGATTTGAACCCAGCTCTTCTGCCCTCCAGGTTCAGGCTGCCTTAGGGAACGAGCAATACAGTCCACACGGAACTTTGGCCCAATCCCTACTGAGACACAGGAAGATAGGAGAGAGGGAGTGGCTGGGAGCAAGAAGGCCAGAGACGGTACGAATTAGAAAGATATTTGAGAGGTGGAATGAGAAAACTTCGTGCTTTGGCCGTGAGAAGTCAGGGGAACGGAGGAGGTTGGGACCTTGGCAGTGGTGACTGACAGGTATGCATGGTCTGCTGGGGAATGGCATCCCTGATTTATCTTGAAGCCAGGTGAAAGAGGCCAAACATGGGGCCTCTGCCTTGCACTGAGACCATGGGCAGGGGGGCCTGTTGAGAGAGTGTCACAAGGAGAACTGGGTGGTGAGCCTCTTCCCACCCCCAGGTATGCTGTGAGCTCTGTCACCTTGAGGGGTGGAGGTGGGGACAGTCTGAGGGGACAGTGTGAAGTGGGAGTGGGCTCTCTTTGGAGGTGGAGGCTGTCTTTTGGGGCAGGGACATTGCGATGTGAAGTGCAGTGAGCTGCCGGTGGGGTCGGGTAGGGGCTATCTGTGGAGGTGGGAGGTTACCATGGGGCTGAGCGGACTACCCACCTGCAAAGGAGGGAGGGTGATGGGTTCCTCTCTAGCACCGGCAACACCACACCCCCGTGTGTGTGTGCGTGTGACTGTGTATTGGGGGCCAGAGCAGTGGTTCCTCGGGGGGGTAAGGAGGAAGCTCTGCCTCCTTCCCTGGGACCTGTGGGGCGTGGACTGGAGTGGGGGGGTCCCCTGGCCAGGGGCGAGCCCTCCACATGCTGCCACCTATGCTGGAACCAGGGGTCAGGGAGATGAATCAGAGGGGGCAGGAGACGAGGGAATGAGAATGAAGAGTGGAGGGGGAAGGGACAAGGGCCTCCACCCGGCCCTGCCCACGTTACCTGAGGCCGTTCGCCGGGTCGCTGGTTGACTCTGAGCCTCGGCGGGCCGCGGAGACTGAGACTGGCTCGCGGGCCGGCGGCCAGGTTCCCCAAGGTCCGCGCCCGAGTCGCCTCCCAGCTCTTGTATCACTATGTGTCTCTCAGAGGCGACACGATTTGCATAAGCCCCGCCTCATCCCGGGCAGATTGGGCGTTGATTGGGTCGGCTGAGGCGGAGTGGCAGGCGGGGTTTCAGGTGGGGACCTGGTGCCCAGTGAGGCCCGGCTGCAGAACGGTCCCCCACCCCCACCCCGCCCTGAGCTTCCCAGAGTAGCGAGGAAAGAGCGGAGAGCTGTACCACCATCTGTACCCCGTCCTGAGGCTCAGACCCAGGGCCATCGTCTGAGGTTAAAAGTGTCCACGATTGAATTGGATTCGCAAAAACAACCGCATGGTTGCTATGGAAACGGAAGAGCCAAAGCTGAGTCTCTCAGCCTTTCCTTCTTAGGCCCCAGCGGGGGTGGGGATGGAAAAGAGGATGAGTCACAAGATGTGTCCCCCCCCCACCCCATATCCCACCCAAAATCGGAGGAGGGCAACGAGGAGCTGAGTTGGGGAGGGAAGAGATGAGGTGGTCAGCAGCCCACGCCTTCGCATCATCCCCTCCCCCAACACATCCACTCCCCTCAAGCCATGGCAGGTGGGCGAGTATGGCAAAGTACCCAGCCTCTACCTAGCCCCATGCTAGCCGTGGGCCCCCCACAGCCTCTAATTCCGATCCGTCCCTTCCTTATTTCTCACGGAGTCCCAGAGGCCTTCCAGAATCTCCCCCGGAAGGATCTGCCTGCCTCATGAACCCCTCCATTCCCCACCCTCCCGGCTTCCCGTCCCGTAGACGAAGCCTGTCCCCAGCCGCCAGTCTCCGGCCTCTGATGTTGACACAAGCCAGAGGCGGTTTACACTGAGTGGGTCTGGAAGGTTTCAGGGCCCTGGGAACACCTCCTCCCCACACTTGGGGGTCTCCCCAAAGCCGGGCCCGGCGGCCCCAGCTGCAGTCGCAGCTGAGAGCTCCTGACGCAAGGCAATGAGAAAGAATGCTTTTACTCCAAACTGGGGCGAAAGAGGAGCAGATAGCCTCGGGTTGGGCCACGTGCGGGGGAGGCACTTCTAGGCATCTGACAAAAGTAGGGCGGGGCATCTGGGGATTGGTTGAATCTGAGCCCGGATGTTGAAGAGCTTGGGGGGGGGGAGGCGGGGCTTCTGCCAATTGAGTGAGTGTTGAGGTGGGCTGCGCAATAGGGGATGCGGACCAGCTTGCCAAGAGGGGAGGCTAGGTTTCTCTGGCTGATCCCAGAAACTTCAGGACCAGGCTCGCTGGGGAGGAGCCAGTGGAGTTCTCTCTTTTTCTTTAGGAATCCTCCCGTTCCCCGTGAAATCTGTTTTGCTGTCCATCCTCCCAGCTGCAGGCTATGTCTTCTCTCTGGGGTCCTAGCAGGATGAGAGCATACCTGGGGCACCAATTAGCAGGCACGTCCCTGGCCCCTTTGTTTGGTGATTTACGAGAGACAGGTGTTTGAAAGCCCTGACTCTGTCACGTTCTGAGCACCCGGCCCTGGGGACCCAGAGACAGCCAAAACCCCATCCCTGCTCACAGATACCGTAATCTAAGGCATGAGGAAGTGGGGAGAGGCAGCATGAGATGCTGGAAGTGGTCTCTGGAACTCTAAAATAAAATCCCATCTTTGCCAATGACCCCACATGTGACCATGGGCAAGACCCTTCTCTCTCTGCCTCCCAGTCTGTAAAATGTGGGAGCTGGTACAGGAGGCCCAGGACAGCAGAGGAAGAGTTTCAACTAGGAGGGTGAAGAAAGGTTGTTTGTCACCCTGGACAGAATTATGTGGGCATGAATCTGACTGCTCCACTACACCTGTGAGCTTCTTAACAATAGGTAACATACAGATAGCTTACTTTGTGCCAAATGCTCTTCTAACACTCAATATGTATTGCCTAATTTATTTCTCATAAGAACTCTTCGAGGCAGGTACTTTTATCACTCCCATTTAACAGATGAGGACATTGAGGCACAGAACAGTTAAGTGACTAGCCCAAGTTCACATAGCTAGTAAAGCTGCAGAGCTGGGATTTAAACGCAAGCAGTCTGGCTCCAGAGCCCAGACTTGTTGCTAGTACACAATACCGCCTCTCTTTAAGATCATTCAAGTCCTCAACGGGAGGGGCCTTGGATTGGGATATTCTTTTCTGATCCTCCAAGGCATTAAAAAGACAAAGCCCAGCAGGATATAATGGTCCTGCTATGGCTCTTTAATTCAGGCAGGACCACCCACACAGCTTTGCCCTTGACTCATCCCAGGCCTTGTGACTGTTCCTGAACTGCCAGTCATAACCCATCTTCACCAGCTTATAATACTTGAGACCCTGATCTTGATCCTGCCTCTGCCCTTTAGGTTCGATGTTTAAAGCAATAGCAACTGACATTGACTGAGTTGCTTCACTATGTACCAGACACTCTGTTAGGGGAAACACTGACTGAAACCGCCCGCCCTGGCCAGGCAAAGACAGTAACAATTTGCATGACTTATTTTAAGACAGGAGATCCTGGTAAGGAACATGGAACTAATAAGCCACCACCAACCGGAAGAATATGGGAAAGATCAAAAGGAGTGAGGAGACGCCAGTCCACATGTCCTACCAACTTCCCAGACTCCTCCTCGCTGGAATCCATCTTGGCTGAGCAGTTGTGCATACCACCAGAAAGGACCCTGAGTCAGAAGGATTGGCCAGAGACAACCCGGGAACTAATCCCATCACCCTAAAACCTGAGACTGTGAGCCACGTGGCAGAGCAGTCCTCCTGGGTTCCCTTACCCTCCTGCTCTCCGCCCAGGCGCCCCTTCCCAATAAAGTCTCTTGCTGTGTCAGCACGTGTGTCTCCTCTCCTCGGACAATTCATTTCCGAGTGTGAGACAAGAGCCCACTCTCGGGCCTGGGAAGGGGTCCCCCTTCCTGCAGCAACTCTGCCCAGTCTTTTATCTGCATCATCCCAGAAATGACCTCTGCCAGGGGTCATTTCTGTTGAGGCACAGGCATTACGAATCAGAACAGATGCTGGCCTTAGTGCTAGATCAAGGACTCTGTTCTGCCAAGAGTGAACACTTTAGTTACTGGATCAAGGGGAGCAGGCAGGAGAGAAGCTAGGGAGGTAGGGACCCAAGGTTATGGCTATTTACCAATCAATTTGCAGATATTTTGATTTTTAACAACCAGCTGTACCAGTACGTAGGGACTGAATTTCAGTGCTGGTATCATTACTTTATTTCATGGCAGTGGATGGCAGCTCAGAGATGTTAGACAACTTGCCCATTGTAACACAGCCCACTAGTGACAGAACTGGGATTCCAACCTAGGTCTGACTCCAGAGCACACAGTCTTAACCACTAACTGTCCTGTGTTCCTGGGAAAGGAAAGTGTCCAGAACAAGAGTTGTTGTTTCCACTGTTCTGCGGCTAAAGGCTGAGCCAGAGGAATGAGGTTTAAGTTCTGAAACTTTGTTGTGGACTCTCTGTTTTCAGGCTTGGCAATACCTACTACGTATGTTGAGGGAGTGGGCTCTGCAGAATAAGGAGGGTGGCGCAGGATGCAAGGAAGAAGGAACGGTGTGTCTGTGTGGGAGATCCCAAAAAGGAGGCACAGATGACACTGAGCCCCATCAGGGTTTCAGTGAGGGCAGAAGTTTGCAGGCTGTGGCCACTTCAATTTGCTTCACAAAATGCTAGCATTCCTCCCCTTGTTGGTCCCAAACTGTGCCTTTATGATGGATAATGCCTTCCTGACTCCCTGGGTTTCCTCAGCCTTGGCAAGTGCAGCCTGGTGACAGCTGGAATTCACCTTGGTTCTAGATATTTCATAGTCTTCTTAGTGGCTGGGAGAGAGTAAGATCACCAGCTTCAGGCTCTCTCCCTTTCTCTATTGGCTAAGCAGGATTTTTTTTTTTAATTTCCAAAATAGAAATCTTTTTTTTTTCCCCCTGTTAATGCATAGTGGCTAAAAAAATAATAGAGAGGGTGGAAGTTCCCCATACTCTCTCCCTTGAACATTACCTGCAGGGGACCTTGTGTTTCCGCTGGCCCTGCCCTCACTCACTTTCTGCTGGAGAAGCCCTATAGTGTAGTGGGTTAAATGTATAGACCCTGGGGCCAGGCTGCCTGGGTTTGCATCCCAGCTCTATCACTTGCCAGCTGTATGACCACAGGCAGTTTACTTTATCTCTCTATGTCTCAATTTCCTCATCTGTAAAATAGGGATAGTAATAAGAGTACCTATTTCAAAGTGCTACTCTAAGAATTAAAATGAGTTAATATATGCAAAGCACTTAGAACCGATTTTGCTTTGGGGAATTAGTCCCCATTGTATACAGTCTTGGTGGGACTATCAATCCGGTGTCCTGCCTTCCCATGGGCAAGTGTTGGGCATGAGACTCAGGTAAGGCTAAATAGTCTCCCCCTCTCTCTCTCTCTCTCTCTCTCTCTCTCTCTCAAGCTAATCTGAATCTTGAGTAAGGTGACTCAAAGGTGGTAGACAATTAGCTCTGGTTTATTCCAGAGCAGTGCCCTGA